AGATTAATATGGTAACCCATGACTGAATGAAGAGAGTATGCTAGCATATATACTAAATGTGATATAAACTACAACAGCAAAGAGCAATAAAAGAGACAAATGTATTTGAAACAATAAATAAATTTTAAAAAAAAGAGCAATAAAAGAACAAATCAAATAATATATCCATTATTTTTCTTTATGTAAAGTTGTTTGTTTTTCCTTTATTTTTGCCTTATTTTAAAAGGACCTGCCCCAGAGACCTGTATATTTTAATAAATCATTTAGCCTGTTAAGGAAAATAGACCATTTATAAAGAGAGATTTTATAATAAAGAAGTATGTCCACTGCCCTGACTGGTGTGGCCCAGCTGGTTGGGCGTTGTCCTGCATTGCAAAACTCATGGGTTCGCTCCCCAGTCAGGACACATATGAGAGGCAATGAATCAATGTTTCTCTCTCACTTTGATGTTTCTTACCTTCTCTCCAAAAATCAATAAGCCCGTCCTTAGGTGAGGATTAAAAAAATAAAAGGAAATAGTATGTCCATAAAATCTGAGCCTATAATCTAGATCTAAAGCATAAATAGCCTTCTACTTAAAAATATAATTTGTTAAGTCAGTAGGTGAGAACATGGGGTACATTTTTTTTTTGGTAGAAACATAGTGATGAGAAATAAAGAGCAGTACACAAAACCTACTTGATATAATAAACATGAAACAAAGAACATAGTGAAACCCAGTCTCCATAGAGAGCACAACTTCTATAGGGAAAATGATTTTAGATTCTTTACTGGAGGCCAGAAAGTCACCTTCCCCAGCTGCAGTGGGAACACAATAGTGTCTTCCTCTGTTGCTTCTGTGCATAATAAGAAATAAGGCCTTCTTATCCCTGATCCTAATGGTAGCTCCTGTAGCTTGTAGGCCTGGGCAGGTATGTGTGACAGGGAGAGGAACTCCAGGATTGGCAGAGGTCTTTAAATATTGGTGGAAATGAGGACATTCTTGTATCATCTCTTCTGACATCCCTGTGGGTCCTTGTTTACTCCCTGATTACTCCCTTTCTTTTATCCCAGCAGTCCCTGGGGTTGGCCTTTTGATTACCCCATCTGAGTGAGGTTCACAGACAGCTTGATATCTCCTTTTTTCAGTGTCTCCACTTTTCTCTACCTTCCAAATATAGAAAGCAAGCCACCACCCCACCACCACCCAAACCCTGAATGAAAGCAAACCCAGTGCCCTTCTGAAGTTTTCATTTATTGTTTTAATGGGGACAAGGGAAAACAGAGATTAAAATAAGCCCTTTCTCATTTACCTACCCAAACCTACAAAGAAAAGACAGTCACATATGCGGAGTCAGGTCTTTAGATATACAAATAATAAAGAAAGACTTCTAAAAGAAAACCAACTTTAGGTCATGCTTAGCATTCTATGATCAGAACTACTGTAGGCTGTAAAAAAAAGAGAAAAGTGCAGGATATGAGATAAATAATGAGTTAGTGTCTGGGGAAAGGGGCAGCTGATGTCAAGGGTAAGAAATGGGGCTGAAGATGCTGTCACAAAGCACATGGCCAGCCCTGGCGGACTGCAGCGAGGGAGCCCACTGGGTACTGTGTTTCCTCTCTCTGGATTTCCACTTCCCAGATCACATGTGAAAAGCTGCATGTGGGGAAAGCAACCCTACAGAATATAAGAGGGATGGGGAGATTAAGGGACAAGGAGTTCCTGTGGCCGCTCAGACTGCACTCTGGAGGGTTCATTCCCTGGTGGCCCTTTATATTTAAGGGTCAGACAGAACTTACACAGAAAATGTTCCATATGCCTTTACATTATGACTCCTACTAAGGACCCTCATTCCTATTTTGTGGAGAACAATCACTGACCATACTGCATCCTATCCCAGGAAAACCAACAACCTGAATGTTCTTCATAAAGAAAAGGGAGACAATCCTCAGAATTCACACATACACATACACACAAATCTAAAATTAACCCTAAATTGAAAATTAAGAAAAGTGAAAGGTATGTGTACCTTTCCCTCTTATTTACTTCTTTTTCTGTTCATTCTTTGACTTTTCTCCCATGAAGGAAGGAGCAAGACTCAGATAGGAAGCCAGTGGGTTTGGATGACAGACTGGACAAAGGAGCTGGAGCTGATCTGGAGGAAGAGGTGGTACTGCCCTCCAAATGCATCCTGACGTAACCCACACACTAAGGAAACACACACGCGCTTTCCAGCAACATATGTCCACCAACAGGACTGTAGGCAAAACTGTGTAAGTTTGTCACTCTTCCAACTCTTTTTCTGAACCCCTCCTCCCTTTGTGTCCCTAAACACGCATGGCCCTTAAGGACCACCTGGGCCCACCACCCATAATCTCTCTAAAATGTTCCTTTCTTTTTCCTACTTTTCCTTCAAAGCTTGCCTCACACACAGTGTTAAGTATTATTCATAACAGCTGATGACAGCAATTGACACCAATGAGTGGAATGAGTTTTAATGGAGGGTTTATTTCTATTTCAAAAGATATTTAAAATGGAAGGGGAGAGGTCATGGTGTATATTTGAACTGGGACTTCAAGGTTCCAAGCCTAGTCCATTTTACAAGAGTTCCTAATTAACGGTTCTCCTGATTTCACCCCCAAGGGAGAATGGAGAGCCTTTACTTTCATCTGCCTCCTCAGTCACTCCAAGAACATCTGAAGCCTCCAAAGAAACATGATAAAGAGAGGGAAGAAAATACAGGTGAGGAGGGGAAACCTTTTTTCCTTTTAGTCCTACAATCGAAAGAAAACGGGGTGACCACCTCCCATTGCGGCCTAAAGAGGTTAAGTACTTTGGCCAAGGCCCCACTGTTAATCATGTATATACACCTTATGGATGCGCAGCAAATACACATGCAAAATACCCAATCATGCAGCTGATTTCACTAAATACGATTTTTATGAATCTAAAGCTGGTACTTCAAATGGAGTGAATGCCTTATGTTAAATTACCACTTAAAAAAAATCTCGGCACATTATTTGCCAATCTAGTCAGCTATTTACAATAAGGTTCCCCATTCATGAATGAGAATGAGACCATTGTCCCAAAGGAAAAAAGAAAAACTTCAAAGCGCTGTATCCCCACTTAGGCTCAATCTCATCCTTCAGCACATTAATTCTCAGAACTCTACTTTCCTCCAGATTCTACAAAATCAGGGCTACTGAGTTCTTTAGGAGGCATCCAAAATGTGGAGAGCTAAGTTTGGGCCAACTGGCAAACACAGCTTTCAGTGAGCCACCTGAATTATTTCTGGAGGCTGAAGGCATCACTGTTTCCAGAAGCCATGGTGCCCAGTCCATAGGAAGAGTATAGGCATTTTGAATCAAGCTCTCAGACTGTGGTCTTCAGTTTGTCTTGAAGGCTTCTTATATTTAAAAAAAGGACTGAGTGAAACTTTAATATTTATGTCAAGTCACAACTAAGGGGCAGGTTTGCAAAATCAATTGTGTAGCTTTTATACTCACTGCACATTTACCACATATGTCCTTTATTACACAGTGGAAAACCATTAAATGCACAGTAGTTTTGCCAAGTGGCATTATGCATTTAACAGCTTTATTCGTTTAACAGCTCCAACTCATTATATTTTGCCATGTGGTACATGGGATTTTATGCATTTAACAGTTTAGGAAGGCTCCATGGTATTTTTCTTTTCATGTATTTCATACTGTGATTGGACATCAAATCTTAGCAAACTGCATTTCAATGATTTCATTGATGAGAAATAATAAGAATAGTCTGGAATGATTACTACGCTAAAATGGAAACGGGAAACACATATTTCTAGCCTCTTCAAAATTCTTTGATATTCTACTCCTTTCCCTTTATCAACATCTGAAAAATAACTTAAGTCAGGTTACTGCCAAACTACAGGTAAAAAAGGCTAATCCCCAAACCATATAATTAGTCTAAATATAGCATTTAACTATATATCATTTTTAAAACTTGATTTTTATTGAAAACCTTCTTGCTTAATAGAAACACGGTATTCAGAAATGTTCTTTCAGCATATGACAGAAGATCTGCTAGGAAGAAGATGGGCCATTTTGCCACTGACATACGCTGGGATGAAAACATTTGCCATGAAAGGTCACAGAGGAAATCAAGCTCAGAATAAAAGGACTCTCAACATTATGCTTCAACAAACTTTTTTTCCTCCATCATGCATTAAATAATTGTTCATCTTAGGGATAAATAAGTAGGCATCTCAACCTAATCCATTCTATGATAGGGTGGTAGTTGTTCCTTTAAAGGAATTGAAACAGATAGTAGATCCCATCAACTGTTGCTGCTTTCATAAATTAAAAAAAAAAGAAAAAAAAAAAAACCTAAGCATCTGTCTACCCTTTTCCCTGGAGCATTCCATACCCACAATCCCAGAACTCTGAAACACTGTGCTGGATAAGCTTCTGTGTTTTTCTGTTAAGGATTTTAGCACTCACCCTGGACTCTCCTGCATGTGTTTTCTCCTGGAAAAAACAACTGTATTCTATACATAAAAGAAATACCTGACATCACAAGATGTCTCTGGGGCTGGAGGAAAGCCATTATTATAACAAAGTCAGCCATTCCCCCGGTGGGAATAAGAGAGGTGATGAGACCTGGCTAAAATGTGGTCTCAGGAAGAGGTTGTTTTGTGTGTACCACATTTTGCTCAAATGAAAACAAAAAGCCAAAAAGCCCAGAAAGAAAAGAATACAGAGTAGTGTTTAGACTTAGAAGAGAAATTATTCGAGGCTGATTCTTTTTTAAAAAAAAATTCTTTAAAAGAAAAAAAAATCTGGGTTTTGACTTAGTCTCTATTTTTTAAACTCCTGTGGGAATAAAAGCAAACTGTAGAGCAAAACTCAGAACATGACAGGTTCCCTAGGGATTATTATTGTTATTATTATTATAGAAACAGATGTATTTTTATTGGTGGGAGGAGGAGAACAGTCTAATTCCAGCTCTCACTTTCGCTCTTTTAAAAGCCACTCACCTGACTTTTATTTGCAGCCACTTTGGCAAACAGGGCTTGAGACACCTTGGCCCTTTTCATCTCCTGTTGGATCTCGTCATAAATGGCAGCTGTGATGTTGACGTTGGCGCCGTCCACCTTAATGGGGAGGTCTGTTGTCGGTGTCGAGGTTTTGGCCTACCAAGAGACCGTGAAAATAATAATTTAAAAAGTGCTGCATTCAGCCCAGCCATCTGTGCAGAAATTATCAAAGGATTTCAGTCAGCTGATGCCAAACTGCATTAGCTACAGAGGGACACTTCCTGTCCATTATTCTAATCAGGTTAATTGTGATTGGAAATAATTGCAGTGCATTCCTATAGGACACGCAGAGTCCTGCAACCCCGTTCCTTCCCTCACAGACTCCTCGCCAGTTCACAGGTAGGATGGCCACTGTCACAAAAAGCCATCCCCTGGCTGCAAGACAAGCAGGCAGAACACACGCGTGCATGCACACGGTTGCGTGTGCACACAGTTACCTTTTTCTCTCTGAAAATGGCACACCTTGCAGGAAGAGCCAATTCTTCCAGAAAAAAATGAGTAAATGGGTAGAGGTCTCTAAATAATAAATTATTACTCAATTTAATGCACTCCCTTGAGTCTCTCTTATTCTTTATTAAAGCTTTACATATGTCATTCGAGTATGTATAGTTTCCCATCATTATCATCATTATGCTACCCAGACAGTCACCTAATTTCACCTAGGAAATCAATGGAAATGAAACAAAATTTCATTTCATAAAACTGGGCTTCAGAATGCCTTTGATGTGGCGTTTTCATTTTCTTAAACTCATATTGTGGTTTTATGTATTCAGCCGTGCTTGTTTTAATTGAATGATTTCCCATCAGCTTCAGAGACAAATGAAGGACAAGAGAGAAGGTGTCTGTATTTCTTGGGGTTAGGATAACCCTAAAAACGTTTGGAGCTACTTGATCCAAAAGACTGCCAGAGCATCTGCTCTGGTGTGTAATGAGACGGGGCTGGGTGGCCTTCTCACGACCCCGGTGGCAGGAATCTGCCCCAATCCTTGGGTTCATAGGCATGGCCAGCTGATTTGGTCTAAAGCGGATTTTTTTTGTCCCCACTCACCCTTAATCCCAAACCAAGAGGGTAGTCCCCAAATCACCCCAATCTCCCTCTGTCAGTGCCCTGAGCTGTCCCCCAAAGGACTGAGCACATGCAGGTTTGGGGGAGAGACTGGGCGGAGTCGGGACGCTGTGGGAGCATTCTCACTGCTGCCTGGAAGCCAAAGTTAATGTCCTGCGTTTCCAAGAGGGCTTTGATTTCTAAGGGCACTCGGTAACTTTTGCCATCCTCCTTTGACCTCTCTCTCTCACACTATTTTCTAATTACTACATAAAAATAAAAATAATTTAGGCCTTGCTTTTTATGTGCCAGGCAATCAAGAAAGTGTTTTACTCCAGGACTGCTGTGCTAATTGGCCTCCAAAATCTCCAGTTTATTCGGGTGCTGTTTTTACAGGTATCTGCTTGCCCTCTACTTTGAGTCTTCCTCTCAGAACAATCCAATTGTCTATTTTTTTTTTCAAGAAACTCCTTTTTCTTCTCAAAATTTCTAGTTTAACCACAGTACTTTTCCTGTTAAGTGCATGCTTTAGCATATTGTTTCTGTCTTTCTCAACTCAGGTTTCTCACTAGCCTATCTTACCTTATCTGACTCATCAAATCTTCTCCAGAACCCGGGGGCTAAAAAGAAAGCCCATAAGGCCCTAAAACATAGTTATGAGCCCAATATCCAGAGTTCAAGTCCTAGTTCTGCCACTCAGCCATTTGATCTTTTACAAGGTATTTAATCCATCTAAATCTCAATTTCCTCATCTGTAAAATGGGGATAACAATGCAAAATGGTGAAGATCCAATTCATGCAAAAGGCTCACGATTCTCAGTACACAGAAAGTGCTTGATAAATCATTCTTATCCTTGTGTTGTTGTTTTGTTATTATTAAGTGCATCGAGGAACACTGGCCAATTGAAGGGTTATGAGAAGAGTGTCTGGAGGTTTCACTTCATATATGAAGTTCTTCAATTTCTTTTAAACCAATAATAAAGTGCTGACGGGATCTGGAAAATGATCTCCATGAACCCATGTAATAAGGCTGCCTCTGTGCCCCAGATGGCTGACTCCAACTAAATGGCCGAATCAGGGGGTTTCCCGCTAACATTTGTTCTCATGTGAAAGCTTTCCTCAACTACGGATCTTTACTATTGAGATATGTCTGTAAAGAATTTTGAGTAAGTAGGTAATCATGAAATGTTTTAAAAGACATAACTTTCCCTTTCTCAATGTTTAACCATGGAAAAGTAATAAATGTTCCAGAGGATGTAAAATGACAGGTCCATGGCTGTATTCTCAAAAATATTTTGAGTAAAATATTTTATATTTATTTTCATGAAGTTCAAAATTATCAAATTAAATAATTAATTTCCCTGTTGCACTTGTCTCCAAAGGGCACCTTTACCTAGGAACTTTCTAGATGGGATTCTGTGCTATTGACAAAAGCAAAATATTGACTCTGTGTGGCCTTGTAAGTTGTTCTATCTCTGAAAGCTATCAGGTTTTTGAAAAGATGTCTAAGATATCTTGTTAGAAAAATATTATGAAGGAGGAAAAAACAAAGCACACAGACCTATGTGATCTCTGACACGCAGAAGAGACTTTATGGGAAGAGTTGTCTGGTTAAACAGCCATGGCTAGACTCTCCTATAATGGTTTAATGGGCTTCAAAAGTGGTAAAAATATTGGTAAATTTAACAGAAGTAAATATTAGTGCAAATTAACAACTCACCCAATTCAATAGTTTAATATGTATGCCCCAAAAGTTAAAAAAAAAAATCCTATAAAAAAGCTTGGTTACACTCATCCAAAGTAAGCAGTCAAGAGACTTATTTTTGGTTTAACAGTAATTAAAACTCATAATTCACTAAAGACTAAAGTGTAAGTATCACAGTTTGGCAGTGCATGGTAGAAAGTGATCTTCAATTAAAAGTCTATTGCAGAATGCAAAATTATAAAAAGTTAAGATGTGTGAAGAAATGGATAAATTTGAAAAAGCTCAAATATTTCTACTAGAATAAAATTTTGCTTCTATTGTTTAATCAGTTCCTTGGAACCTACCAGAAAACAAATTCATTTAAAAAAACAAAACAAAACAAATAGTATTTAAGCAAAAAATTCTTTGGTTTCAAAGTACCCATTTTTCTGATTTGTAAAAATGTATATCTGTTAAATGTTTTGAGAATTATCTTTCAGATGGAATGTGCAACCATCCTAGCAACTATAAAATGAGATGGCTGTCTCATAAACCTAGTGAGTAGTAAAAGTTGAAGGGAAATAGGCAGCGGGCTAGAAATGATTGGGCTCAGATTTGAATTGAAAATGACTCTTGACTGACTTGGGCCTTTGACCCTTCAGTTAGGATCTGTGAAGCACAGAGCATCACTAGATATGTACACTTGCAGGAGGAACTGAGAGCAGAATGCGTTTAGATTGTGGAGAAAGGAGGTATGGAAAGCTGAGCCAGAGCCCTGGGAAAGATCCCCCCAGGAAACAAAATAGTGAAGACTTACCTTTGCACTACCTTTGTCTAAGGATCATTGAATGATCTGGCCGTCCTGCTCTAGCTGCTGTCCATGCGTGCTTCCATGACACATGGGTGCCTCCCCCATTTTGTCTTTCTCAGACTGCATAAAGCAGATCTTGGACCTCTCATTCATCCGCTGACCTCAAATACCTCACCTTCTTCCAAATAAATGTAAAACTTAAGGAAAGAGCAGTGCACTTGCTATGCAAACTCAGCTTTAACACAAATCCTCTAACGCCTCAGATAACTAAGTGGCTGTATGTGGACATCGCTAGCCCACCCCTCCACCCACTCCTGCTCTCCTGCAGTGTGTGGACAAATGGTACTTTCTATTCCTAAGGGACAAAACTGACATATGATATAGTAAAAGACAACCAATTTTATATGGTTCTATATCCTCTGATCAACATGTGTGGTGGATTAAAAAAATTCTTGAATTATGTCTCTTGGTGTTCAAGGAACATCACAGTATCAGTGAGGGCAAGATGTTTCCAAGGCAAAGAGTGAAAAGTCGATGGAGCAAGTATCTCACCTGAGGGGTTCGGGAGGAGCTGGGACTGCTAGAGGCTGACGAGACCATGCTCACATTGGGGTTCATGCTTCGCTCTCTCTCATCCTGGTAGATGCGATCCCTCTCCACTTCCGGAAGATTGAGAAAATTCTGCATGGCCCTCAGGTTTACCAAAAGAGACTGAGAGGCTGTCCGAGGGTCTTCTTCTTTACGGAGAATCTCAGACAACAATCCCTGATTAAATTTTTAAAAAAATAGGCCGAGTTATATCTGCAGGTGTGTGTTTCTGTCTTCCGCCCCCCCTCCCTTTTATTTGTTTGCTGTAACCAGTTGGCTGTGATGTCAAGAACCTAAGTCTAACTCCTGAAGGTTCTCCAGCAGGAAGATTTGGTGGGAACATGCTTGCCTTCCGGGGGCTGTGCCTTATTTTGGACCATTCTGTTCTGACACTTTATCATCACTGTAATAATCATTGGTGTACAGAGATGCCAGCTAGCAAGGTAGGCGCTGGGGAAGAATTGTGAAGCTGCAATTACCACCAGGTGCCTCCTACAAGTATTTCAGGAACTGTTAGAACTCTCTCTGCTTGAAATTGGGAACACTTGGCAGTCCTGCTCAGCTTTAAAAATCTGCCAAGTGTGGTAAATTTAGTTCCGACATTTAAACAGCATGGGAGATTTACATCGACTAAAAAAAAAAAAAAAGTTTGGCTGAATTTCTATGTGACCGGCCACTGTTTTCAATATAGATGTTTCTTATAGAAAAAAAAAAAAGACACAAAGCAAACGGCTATAACCTGTGTTAACCCTCTGATAGCTTCTAAATCCACATACATAGTAGGAATCCCTGCTTATGTACCAGAGGGCACCCAAACATTTTTATGAGACTCCCTCAAGAGGGAAGCTCTAATCCCATGAAAGGAATGGAAATGCAGTCACATCCGGTGAGGGGCCAGAGAACACACTGCAGAATGCCATGTAGACTCAGAAACTTTCTCAGTGTGTGGCTTAACCAAACAGAACGCTTGAAATAGGAAATTAGTTTTTTTATGTGCTCTGATGACAGAATTCACTCACACACACACACAAACGGAAAAAGTGGACAAGAATAGAAAAAAGTAGTATGGCCATAAGAAAAGGGCCAGAGACCAAAGACGGAATACTGTAGGTAGTACTTTGGGCAAAAGCAGATCCATTTCCACTCTGCACACTTGCTAAGGTTATCACACACAGGCATCTCTTTACACTCCCAGCTAACATCCATTCTCAGGACATTATGAGATCCAGGCCTAGGATCATCCCTGAGGAAAAGCTGAGATGTTAACCTCTTTATCTTAGAACACATGGGGCAACCCCAAATCATGAAAAGTAGATGCCAAGGACACTTCCACTGGGGGGACTATTCATTCAAAGGAAACACTATCAGTCTGTAATATATGGCTTAACTGTAAAAGGCATCTGATGCAAGAGGAATATACCATCTCCCGATTGGCCAGAAATCTTCAGGATAAGTTAGGCGATCCTTGAAAAGAAAGTAATACATTCTAAAATAGTGAAGCAAATGTCACTTACAGGAATGCACATCCCCAGTTATCAGCATTCTAAGAAGGTAATCACCCTTCAAAACATTGTGAAGGTAATTTTACTATAAGGAACCTACAAGCAGTATGCCATCACACAGTTCTGCAACTTGGGCATCATGTTACTGTGATTAGAGGTGTCTTTACGAAGGACAATAAAATAGGCCATACAATGAAGATAGAAAAAATGTTACCTAGAGGGTGTGCGCAAGCATGCTCAAGGAAAGAGCAAGGTAGGATGTCTATGTAAAAATACCCTACTAGTAATCTGATTCTAAGAAAATCCAGATTTCTTGTTACGCTTCCAGAAGCAACAAGTGACAATGTCTTCCAGAAAATGTTATACAATCAAGCACTGATTCTCTTTCTAAAATTAAGTCAGTTCTGCCTTAAGTAATTCTACTTCCACTTGTGCTAAGCAACCTGAAATATTAATAATAAATTTGTTTCTGAGATAAAAATCTCCAAGAGGGAAGTGAATTTAAAATCAATACTAATCTCTAATACCAAAAGGACACTAAGATTGATATTTTCTGAACATTCATTAATGATGAACTCTGTAAATTAAGGATACATTGGTCTTCTCCTTCTTTTCTCTCATAAGTAATTTTAGCATTTTAATATATCTCCAGTTACCAAATCCAGAGGGATTTTAGTGTCTACATAGATACAGACATATTCTTTATGCTAATTATGATGATACTTAAAATATCTGAAAAGTGAAGTTTGTAAACTTCTATAAAATTATTTTTACACATGTGGAGTACAGTATGGCTAAAGATTTGCACACAAAATAGTGAAACAAAAAACTAGTATTCTAATAGACTAGGTTCAAAATTTGTTCATTTTTCATCAATTAAAAAAATCACTCTGAAGCAGAAAGCGTTTCTGCTTATTGTTTTGCTTGGTTTACTCTTTTCCCCCCACCTCAAATTTGTGGACTTCCTCTGCATTTTTTACATGTTGGACAACCTCATAGGGAAGTGAATCCATCTCTAAAAAAAAATTCAAGACCCAACATTCTTGTACATGATTGCTCATAAGTATCATTTCTGAAGTGAATGAGACATCATAGTTGTATTTTAAAGGGTGGATGGAATATAATGTCGCCTCTGTTTCATTTGCCTAATTGAAGATAAAGTCTCAAACCAGCAAGGTGGCCAGCACTGCCTCCATGTATTGCCCCAGAGAATGAGGACACTGTTCTAATTATTTACTTAAGGTCTCATCTGCGTGGCCATGGTTCCACAGCAGATTCTTTTGACCTCAGACGTTTTCAATAACAAGTGGCTAATGGGTGGGCATAAAAAGAGTTTTAGTTGTTTTGTTAAGCCTTTTTCATTTTGGTTATTTATAAGCTTTAAACTATTTAAACTGGGATTTTTAAAAATAGAGTCCAAATTCTACAGGCTCATAAATGCTAAGAGAATTTATTTAGTTAGTTGAAAATCATCATGGGGAGAAAAATCAGAAGAAAATCTATGGCATAACTTACATGCACCACAAATTGCCCCACCTAATTATTAAGATACGTAAATGTTTATCATGGTGAAACATCTTGAATAGAACATAAATTAATAATTTATTACACATACACATTTCGAAAGCCCTTGCCACTGTACTGTCTGGCATTTTAATTATCAACCAGCCAGGCAGGAGATGTCACTTGGACATTCCCATTATGCAGCCTGAGATATTGAAAATGTGGCATGACATCTGGGCACCGACAAAAAAAAAAAAAAAAGATGTACTTTTATGAATAGAGGGGTCATGAATATTGAAAATGTGAAAATTGAGGGAAATTAATAAATTAACTAGGATATTGCTTATTAAACTTTCATATCAGTAATCATATTAAAAACATATTGCAAGTATTGAGTAAAGTGGTCATTAAGCATTTTCCTCATCGTAGGCAACAGAGCCTTCTCAAGGGAGAGATTAAGACAATTCCCTCCTTGGTGTGAACTGAGGTTATGTAAGACCAGGAAACATGTTGACTGAAAAGGAGTAGAACGAACATCTGCACAGGGTAGAAAGACATTGTGCACAAATAGCTCTTGGGTTACAAGTTGCTGAAAAATGAAGGGAGTCAGGGAAAAAAAACTTCAGCTTGGTTTTCTCCCTCGCCTTTTAATGGGGGATTTTGTGAGCCTCATATTTTTTCCTGCACCAGCAAAGACTACATGAAGTTGGCAGAAAATTCAAAAAAGCAATATAATTCAAAATGCAAAACAAGAGCTAATATAATGCCATCTAGCTTGGTTGCTATTATAGGTAATCTTCACAGACAAAAAAGGCTAATTTTTTAAATTAAAAAATGATGTAATTATTTCTAGTATTTTAAATAATATTTATTTGTAACAAATTAAATGACCTTACAGTTTCTAAATTTGCAATTTCTGCTGATAAGCTTTCTTATTTAAATGATTATGATTTCCATATTTCTTCAACAATTCACATAGTTTGAGCCCAAACTGTTAGTGTGCAACATACGTGCTAATATTCAGAAATGTTTGGGAAACATTACCATGAATGGCTCTATAAAATTTACTTCTGCCATGGCCAGATAGCTCAGTTGGTTGAAGTGTCTTCCTGATATGCCAAGTTGCAGATTCGATCCCCCGTCAGGGCACATCCAAGAATCAACCAATAAATATATACTCATAAATAAGTGGAACAACACATCAATATCTGTCCGTCTCTCTGTCTCTTTCTCTCTCTCTCTCTCTCTCTTCCCTTTCCTGTCTCTAAAAATCAATTTAAAAAAAGACACTAAAATTTACCTCCAAGTTTCTTCACTAGCTCTTACGGCCTTGCCTGGGACGGATGAGAAGCTGCCTTTGATGATCCCCTAACCCTTTAAGACAGCAGTGGGAGAATCCAAACCTGGGCCAGGTTTGAGGAACACTGAGCTGGAGCCCCTCAGACCTCCCGAGGCCACTCCAGCGGCACCAGCAGCAGTGAAGGTCATTACCGACTCGATTTTAACAGGTATCTGTTCTTCATGGCTCTCACAGCTTTGGTAATTTTCTAAGGTTGGGCTATATCTCCCAGTGATTATCTGCAGAACCCCGAAATCCAACACATGTATTACCAAAAAATGACAGATCAGTCAATTAATTCATTTCTTATTTATGACTTGATACAAAGCTCAGAAAGGAATGAAAAGATTAATTAAGATGCAGATTCTGTTGCCAAGCAGTTTACTATATGATGGTTTATAGAAGCACAATGTTGAAGATGACAAGTGTCATAAATTCCAGATAGAACTACTGCCATCTCAGTTCAAATGAGGGTGAAAGTACTGCCAACCACAGGACTCAGGGAAAATGTCTTGGAAGAAGTGGAACTTATCTTGGCTGGGATTTGAAATACACACAGTGCACCAATATAGAGATAATGGTGAGACCAGGCAAAGGGGGGGGTGAGCGGGGGACTGGACAGTGTTAAAACATCTGAAGAAAAAGAAAGTGCATGACTAATCCAGAATACCAAGGGAAGTTCCTGTTTCATTAAAAGCTTTAAAAAAAGAAAAGAGTACAAAAACTGATAAAGGGAGAGGAGACATTTTGAAGTGAAAATAATACAGTCCACATGAATATAATTCTGAACTACTGGAGTATACACAAACTAACTAGCAAACATTACCCCCAAA